CCAAGTATTCACAAAGAGCTGTAATTTGTTGTCAAATAACTTTTAAAAGCCAAACCTCCAGGCTGCCCAGCTGAACTGAGTCCTGCTTCCTCCCTGAGAATTCTTCAGCAGTAGCAATATTTTCCTGGTGGAGTATTTGTCATTCTTTTCCAATTATTACTGTTATTATTTTGTAACTCTGTTTGTCTTTGTTCTGTGGTCTGTTCTTTTTTTTGAGTGCTAGTGAAAACCTCTTGTCATTTGCCCTGTCCTTCCCCTTGGTTTGATATTTTCTGCCAACCCCTCTGCCCTAAAGTATTTTTCCCCTTTTTCTGCATGCAATGGGATCTTACCTCTACAAAACCATTGCTTTTATTGCTCATGGAGGAGTGATTTTATCCCAGAAAAATTCTCCAGTCATCAAGGTGGGAAAGACCAGAAGAGATGCCAAAGTGATCTCCTGGCTGATTTTCTGATTCTTCTTTGGAAGAACTCAACAGCTCAGTCAAAAGATGTTCATTCTGTGGACTATTTTATTTTGATAATGAAAATTTTTTTATGAACTGTTGCTTCTCTGGAGCCAAATTGTGGGATCATAGGAGATCTGTAAGCTCAGCATGGTCCAGGAAGAAGCATAGTAGGAAATTAGAGAAGAAATAGAGAAAAACCACACAAGATTTCTTGGTACCACTATAAACCCATCATGTATCTGTGTGAATACTCTCTGCCTCAAAAAGGAGATGTTAAAACAGCAAAAGCTGTAGAGAAGGGCAAAAAATGCAATCAAAGATATGGCAGATGTGGGGAAGGTGAACTGTGTTCCCATGTTCCTTCTACAAAAGACCTCCAAGTCATTTAAAGATGTAACTTTCTTTTATGGATTCCTTTTCTGATTAAAATGGTCTTCTGTAAGTGATTTTATGATACATATAAATATTATGGTTATCAGTCTCCACAGTTAAAAGAAGGCTTTTTTCTTTGGCAGGAGGAAGGCTATACATGCAAATTCAGATTCCTGATGCATTCCCACTAACTCTGCCCTTCTGTTCTGGCAGAATGAGGAGAAACTGGGGTTTGTATTTTCTTTTATTTGTTTCTTTATGTATCCTGTGCTCACTGATTCTCACTTATTTCTTATTTCATTATCTTTCCTGTTCTTTTTCTTTTTTTTTGTGGCTACATTTGTGGCTGCATTTTTTCTTTTATTTGTTTACTTTGCCTTGAACTTTCTCCTAAATCCTTCTTTTCTTTTCAGGCAGACCTTAATAAACACACTGAAGCATAATTTTTCTCTCCTTCCATTTCCACTTCCCTTCCTCTTCTACTTCCATATATTTTCCCCTTTCCCCCCAATATTATCCTTTTCTCCTTAGCAATTTTTGATGTTTTTCTTTCCCATGAATTTTCCTGTCCTTCTTTTGGCATTTTGCACTTTACCTCAGGGGAGACTCCACAAGAATTTGGGCCTTTTTTCCTTAATAGTGCAAAACTGGATAGAAACCACCTTAAAAATATGTGGGACAAACTCTGTCCAAACTGTCCTGTGGCATGAGTATGTCTGGGAGCAAATAAATTCCTGTTTAGAAAATTTAACTTCTCCTAAAAATTCAGGCTCCATCCTTCCAGCTGGAAACTGGATCATATAATGGGTTATTACAAGCTGTTAAAATTTGAGACCGAGGAGGGGGAATAGGCTGAAGTTATTCCATGGATTGTTCTGTTCTTTGTGGGAGGCTGTTAAAATAAAGCAACAGTATAAAAGATGAATTATATACAATTTAATGTAAAGCTGTTGGAAGCCATTAGGATATTTCTTCCTTGATTGTCTAACATTTGTGTACTTTTACAAAGTTTTACATTTTTTGGTTCTTTCCGAACATTATGAAAATTGTACTGAGAGGAGTAAATTCATCTGCATAAAATTGACTGCAAAGAGCAATTAGTCCTTCATTAATATGCAAATTTGGTCCAGTGCAGATTCATCTATATATGAGGCTTAAATATGCAAGTCAGTCTTGCTGTGCGAGAAGCCCAGATGCTTTTATTTACTTTGAAATTGAGGGATTTGGTTAATGATGTTGTTGACAGGAAAACTTGAATAAATTTGATGATCACCATCTTTCATATTAGACGAGGCCCATGGAAAAAAATTACCAAGTAAAATACCAATTTTATTTGGTAATTTCCTATTACCAATCTTGTAATAAAATGTAAGATAGAAAGTAATAGAGTTAGATTTCCTAATGTAGTTATCCTGAGACTTAAACTGCTCCCCAAAGATGGAGCCATTTTTCTTAAACTTTGTTTTTCCAGAGGGTAAAGACATCTCCATAAGCTGTATGAATAACACACTGCCTGGAGATTTAATATTGGAAAGTTGGTTCTGTGACTTGCTTCAGTTGGTGAGAGGATATAAGCCTGGGAATGAGGAAGCAGGAACTTTGGAAATGGTTCTTTGTCATCTTCCATGATTTATCTGTAGGTTCTTCTCAAGAATTAGTGTTGAGGCCTTTGCCCTGAACCTGTGGAACTCCCTGGAATCTGTCTGAACACACAGCCAATTCTATTTGGATCACCTAAGCTCCTTAATAAACATTTTCTTAAATATCTTTAAATCTTTACAGCTCTTGGTAATGATGCTTTCTTCCTGCTGGCACCCACCATAGGCTGGCTCAGAGAAGCAGGGTTTTTCCTCACCAATAAATCCAAGCTGTGCTGTGTCTTGCCTCTCTCCTCTTTTCCTGCCCCACAGTTCCTTTGGCACACCCAGGATTCATTCCCCTGCTTTTGTCCAGCATCCATCACTCAGCCAGGTATGGGGACAGTTCCTTTGATCCACCTGCAAGATCCCACAGTTGCTCCTCCTCGTGTTTCTTCCTTTTTCTTTCTCTGCAATTCCCTCAGCCCTAAATTTAGCTTTGGCTCAAGCAAAACTGGTTTTTGACTTCAATCATGCCCATTTTTGCCTGGACCAAACCTGGTCTTCTGTCTTGCCTGAGTGAGGCATTGGCACTTCCAAAAGAACAGAGAAATGTGGTTTAAATGGACTGAACTGTGTGTTCATTTATAAAGCTCTAGTTGTAACTACCTGAGGACAAGTTAATAGATGAGACCATTTGATTCCTCTGACTTCCTGGCACAGCTGTTTGGGATATAAATCCTCACAACTGTTGGTTTCCAAATCCTTAATGTGCTGCACTAGGCAAAAAGTTTCTACAACCATGTTCAGGAGAGAAAAAAATTCAACCAAAATTGTTAATGTGGTCTTTCAGAATCCAAAAGCAGGAGAATGAAGATGGAATTGAGTATCTGGGGGGAACAGAGGGGAGATCTGATAGTCTTGTAAAGGCTCTGGTTATCCTACAAGGGAATCTGTGGGTTTTACCATCAGAATGAGGCACTGACAGTGTCAGAAGGAGTTTATTTGCACTACTGAATAGTTTAGGAGGTGATAAATTGATTAAAAGATGAAACCTTAAAACCACACCATCTACTGAGACTTAAATAGCCTTTGCCTTTGAGAACACAGAATTGTTGGGCTGTTTGTTTCTAGTATTTTTCAGACCATCCACAGCAATCTTGGTTTTCTGATCTTGCTCCCAAGAGAGGAAAATATTAATTTTGAAGTGTATAAACAACAGGCATCTCAGCACAACCTGAGGTTGTCTCCTATCAACTATGTAATCTTTATATTCTAGATTAATAAACACTTCAGCCTTGGAGTTTATTAGTCCAAAATATATTTATTACCTCATAAATTCAAACCCCCTCCAGTTACCATCTAATTAAACTGCAGCGCTGTGCATGCTATCTTTGGGGATGTATTAATAATGGAATTATCTTGTGAAACAGTAATTACATACTTTGTGCATTCTTTGCCACACTCTTTCCTCAGTGTCTGTGTGATGAGTGGGGCACACAGTGCTCCATTGTTTGGAGCTCCTCCAAAGTCTCTGTGTATCCAAAGATAAGCAGATTTTTTTTTTTTCCCCTCTTAGTAGAAGAGGGAGAAAAGTTTGTGCATTTTTTGTACTCAGGAAAGACCAATACCACCAGACTAGGAACAGTTATGAAACATGATTGTGCAAGTGATTTTAGCTCATGCTTTCTCCTCACTCCTTGAGGAGATTACTCTCAGGAGTAAAACCTCCTTGCAGGATATGTTTTGTTTTTACTGCAGCTGCCAAAAGGTGAAGACAACCACTTCATCTGCAAGAGAATATTCACTTTTGGGACTTCACTGGTGACATAGGTTTGAAATGGGAAATGGGCTTAAAGCCTTCTTCAGGAGAGATTTACTCAGTTTTCTGCAGTGGTAAGTGTACGTGCTGTATTCTGATTTACAAATGTATTGACTCTCTCTGTGCTTTTTCTTTATAAGGTTGTCTCCCATCTCCTACTCTGGATAATTTGTATTGACAAGAATCCTTGTGCTCATTTTTCCTCCCTTACTGCAGAATTAGGTGTCTGAATCCTGCCTGATGTTCCCTTCCCTGCATGGAAAGAGGCACAGGAGGCAACACCTTTTGCACATAACTTCCCTGGAGTTCTGAAGTGCCTTATCTCTAGTTCAAGTACATCTGTTGAGCAACAGTGGGAGTGTGTGATTCTTGTTGACACAGGCTCTGCTCTACCTGACAGGAGGGGGGGTTATTCTCTCTTGTACTTCCAGCAGTTTGTGGGTTTAAGATCCATGTGCTGTGTTCTCTTGCCTTTTATTTGTTCACTGCAGTTGCTGGGGCTGTGCAGGTTCTGCAGGAGAGGAAGGGCACTTCCCACCAGTTTCCTCCCTGAATCTTTCAGATCTTTCCAGCACAAGTTTTGCCTTCTCCTTGGTTTTCTGCTCCACAGGTTCTGAAGCCTGATGCCAAATACAAAATTGAATAATGGTCACTCACTTCATACAAAGGGGTTTGATTGAACTTCCAGCTGCAACTCCATCTCCACTCCTGTATTGTGATTGCAACTTCATGTTTTATTTGCATTTTGCAGTCATTCAGGGGCCAGGTTTTCAAGTCTTCCAGATTTGGACTTGTTTTGATTTCACTGCAAAATTGTGCAAGGATTCTGCCAACAGCAAGGCCAATGTGTCTGAAAACAGATGGCATTTCCAGTACCTAAAGCCTGGTCAGGTATGAGTATCTCAGTAGTAAGAGTGACTCAAACTTGTAGCTTTGATTTTCAATAAGACACTATTTGCTTTATCCAGTAATTTTCATCTGCCAGCACTCACAGTTATTTAAATCAGACTGTTTTCATGGATGAATGTTATTCTTTGGGAATAAAGAATGCCTGACAAGCTTCTGTAGTTTAGTGAATAGATTTTTGTAAACCACATAATGAAATGTAATTATTATATGATATATATTTTACAGAATCTCAAACAGCCTTATCAGCCCAATGTCTAGGAATTCACCTTCTGAGACTGAACATCTTGTGCTTGGTGTTTTAATAAAAATGGGGACTGATACCACTGTGTTACCACAATGTAGAATGGAACAGTTTCCATTGTAATGAATAGCAAACATCTGCAAAGAATAATTAGATTTATCCCATACTGCTCAAACATACATTATTATTATTACAGCTCAGGATTAATTACTGGTTTGTCAAAACCTGCTGACCTCAAAAGTTTTGTTTGTCTTATATTTCTGGTGGCTGTTGATGAAAAGATGGTCTGTATGTCCCCAGAATGGTTCCAGGTTGTATCTTGCTTGTTCTGGCACTCTGAGTTTTTGTGCCTGGTGTCTGATTTGGAAACTTTCAAACTAGACACCTTTCTGATGTGTTTTTCCTGATGTGAATAAATTCACTGCAGAATACTTGCAGAGCAAGAGATGTTTGTTGCCAAGCAATTACATCAGATGAAACATACAGAAGGGTAATATTTTAGTCTGATTTTTTTTTTTTTTTTTGCTACAGGCATGAATCTGAAGATGAATTCTGGGAATTTAAGGAAGGAAAAAGACAGGGCTTTTATTTCTTAAATTTTTTCCTTGTCTTCTGTATTTTGCAGTGATTGCTTTGAGTCTGTAAGGTCATTCTGGTTGAAGGCATGAAGATGAGGACATCAAAGCCTTTGCCCATTTATGACAATTACTCTGGAGACAAACACAGCTCAGAAGACAAATGTTATGAGCTACCTGTAAGTTCTGGTTCACAAAACAGATGAGAATCCAACGATACTTCTGAACTTGGAAATGAAATTTATTCTCAAGGTAATGGTTGAGCTCATTATCTGCAGCTCTTTCTAAATGTAAAGTAAGGAGAGCAATGCCCATATATTCTATCTATAACAGCTGACATGTTTTCTGCATTCCTGTGTTTGCCTAAGAAGTCATGGATAATCAATTTGATGTGCAAAATAAACTGCATGGATGAATTCTGATACATATCACTTGCCATGGCTGTGCTGTTATGAGAGGCAAAAACTTCCAGGAAGGAAAGAGCAAGGAAAAATCTGCCTGATAATTTTCTCATCAGTTTTTCTCCAAGGACATATCTGTAGGTGGATTCTATAGACAGTGTTTGGGTATTTTTCCCCCCTTGAGTGGCTGGTTCTGTGTGTGTCAGTTATTTTCTCATGCTGTATTAGAAATCAAAGCTACCTTATCACTTCAGGATAAATATATCTATACTTATATCTCTGTATCTATCCCCTATAATCCTAACTAGGAAAAGCTAACCTGAAACATTTCATTTTCAGCCTTTCTTATTATTTAAATATACAGTCTAAATTATTTTTAAAATTCCCCACATGTATTACAAATAACTTCCCATCTGACTGGGAAGCAGAATAGGCAGGAACCAGCAGCAGACAGATGTGATTATAAAAGATGTTCTGTTTGTTATAATGAGACTTATGGTCTTAATAAACTCTTAGAATGTTTTTAACACAACCAAATTAAGTAATTTCAAAATCTGATTTTCTAGATCTAACCCTATCAGATCACTTTTTTCTTTATTTTTGAGGACACCCCCCCTCAAATTTTAGAGAATCTCTCACAAAATAGAGTATCCCTAGTTCCAGCAAAGAAAAAAGGGAAATCTGTACAGATAAAAAGCATGAATGACAATCCTGATCATGTGGAAAAAATCAATCTGTGAGCTTAGACATAGTTTCACATTAGTCTCCTCCTTTCTTGGAGATCCATATTTCCCCCAGAATATCCAGCAGCGTTACGTAGCCTGTCAAAATTTGCTCATAATATTTCATGTCCTTCTGCTGGAAAGAAACAGCTGGATATTTTGTGTCATGATGTGACCAATCCACCTCTGTTGTTGTCATTTTAATTGCTGGGGCTGTATTTTTAAGTCCTCCACAGAAGGTCTTTGTAGCGACAAGCGAACGGTTCACGCTTCGTAAGCAAACATAAAGAATGCTGCTGCTAATTGGAGAGGGAGTAATGCAGTTATGATTCCATCAACATTTAAGTTACATTGGGAAAGGACACGTTTTTTGTTGTGGTTGTGTTGCCACATCAAATTTTTACTCCAAGTGGATTTGGTGGGGAAGGTTTTAGAACAGAATAAATTAATCCTGGAATTACAGGGATGGGGGAGATGGAAGTTAAATTGTTCTAAGCTACATCTACAGTAGAAAAATCAGTATTTTATTACTCTTTCTTTGAAATGGTAGTTATTAATTGCTGGCTTGTGAAATAGCTTGTCTGTGAAAATGGAAAGAATGGAGAGCCTCAAAAACTCCCTTTCCCCTGCCCTGAAGAAATGCAGCCACAGTGTTTCATGTGGAGGACTCCTCAAAAATCACCAGTTTCCCAAAAAAAAGGTTCTTATACAGTAATTTATGTCTTTTTGATGTTTTCCCCTTGATATTCTGCCTGTTGTACCTATAGACTTCCAATTTCTAAGTCTGCTGGACCTTGTGCTAAATCTTGGCTTTTTTCCTAAATTACATTTCCATGGAATACTTGGCTGTGGATTAACAGTTTTACAGTTATGTGCCCAAAGTTCTTTCCCCTTTATGCTGATTTAATTTTTTTTTTTAATTCACATCTCTCTTCTCAGGTGGAGCCTCATCTTGAGCAGCATTGGGAGGGCCAAAGGTGCTTCCTTTTCCAGTTCCCTGCCTGAATTTTAGAAGATACCATTTTTTAGCATCTAGACAAGGAAATCACAGCAATTTCCATGGGAAGAATCACAGAGATGGCAGGGCTTCCCCCCAAAACACTGCCTGTGTAATTGCTGAAGACATTCCAAGCCACTCTAACGAAGTGCTGTCTGCCAGTCATTATGTTCTCCTTGGAGGACCATCTGTTGCACTTCAAATATGTAAAGGTCTCTATCATTTATTGCTCCAAACAAATCCAGGCCTTTGTCTGATGTGCTGGAGCTCCTGAATGCATTCTAAAGGTGGTTTCAGTCACAAAGGGCAGGGTATTCCCTTTGGTTGTACTCCTTCAGCTCAGATTTCAGAGCACAAATATACTGGTGAAACCAATATCTGAATATTTTCAATTTATTTAGAAATGAATTATGAACAATGACAACTAAAAGTATTTGAAATACGTTTTCATTCAGCCAGGAGGACATTGGAAGATTTTTGCATCTGGTGAACAAATCTTTCCATTGTAGTGGTATCCAGTTTTGATATATGCTGAGATTGGAATGAAAATTACCTTATTTTAACTGAATTAATTAGCTTATTTGTATCTGAAAATAGTGATTCAAAGGAATGGTAAAGAATAGAGTCAGCAGCTTAAAATGCTCAAGCCTTCCTTAGCACATGTCCTTTACAAGGATGTAATACTTGGTTGTACAGTCATTATTTATAGGTTAATTAGGATCGTTTCCACGAGTAAAATGAGCAAGATCAAGCATTAAAATATGCTGGTTTTTGTTTTTCCTGCTGAGATTTTAAAGAGGCTGTACAATCAGATTGGAGAACGTGAGCATTGTGTTTTCACAGCAGAAAAAAAGTTCTGTTCAGAGATTTCCAGCCAGAGAAACCCATAACAATTTCTGTCTGATTAGGGAGTGGTCCTATCTTTATTCCTTTCTCCTCTTCCCCTTCTCCTTCCTGCTCAGCAGCTAATGTTCTGGTCAGAAGTAATAATATGTTAGATCTTGAATGTCAGTAGCCCCAGAGATTCTGACAAGACTATTCATGTGCATTCATACGTCTTAACCAAAGCTGACACTAAAGAGAGCAAGAATTCTCATATTCCTCTTTTTATTGCTGTGCATTAAACTCAAATCTTCTCTTGGAGACCTCTGCTAGAAATGACAAATCCACCATTTGAAAAAGGCATTTTAGCAAGGTCTAAACAAAGCAGCTGGACATCAATCTGGCACAGGGCAGAGGCTCCTGTGAGAGCTCACAGTGCAAAGCTGAACTCTGCTTTACACCTTCCAAATGCTGTGAGATAAATACTAATGGGAAATAACCATTCCTATTTTTCTAAATTTCAATTTAAAAAGTGATTGCTGTGAGATAAATACTAATGGGAAATAACCATTCCTCCTAATTTTTCTAAATTTCAATTAAAAAAGTGATTTTAATTTGTTTTTTTGTTTTTTTGTTTTTTGGTTTTTTTTTTTTAACTATAGGATATGTCCTAATTGGGATATTTGGATTCTGGTAACTCAAGGTTGTTTTCTGAGAAACACACCCTGAGTGAATATTCTGCTCTACCTTTTACTCTGGACATATTTTACACACACTTGTAGGATGGTGTACTGCACATGTTTGGGTGATTTTGCAGGGATGTGATGAAGTTGTTAAAGCCAGGTAGGCAATTTTGCCAGCAGTGATATTTTTAATCTTCTTTTTTAAAATGGTTTGGTAGTAGTGACTAAGGCAGACTAGGTGGCTCTGGGCAGCTCGCCATTTTTAGGTAGTTTAATTTGTTAAAAATTATCTTTCTTCCCACCCAAATCCCCTTGAAACCATTTGGAGAAGAGAACTGTTGAACAGTTGCCAGTAATAAGTCCTGCTGAGACCTCTGTATCCTCCTGACAGAAATGTTGGTGCCAACTGGAGACTGACTGGCACGAGTTTGAACTCTGCAATACTTGATATATTTGCTTCACATGCACCAATTACAATAATTACCACCTCTGCAGCTGAAGTTTAAGCACTCACTCTGCACTCCATACCTCAGGTTGTTGGCAGTATGTTCAATCCTATAATCTCAATTTTCTTGGAATAATTAAGTAGAAAATAAATACTTCAAAAAATTAGGAGAGAGTCTGAATGGAAATCAGAGGCTGAATAATAGAGTTGTTTGTCATGTTGCTATTGTTAAGCTACATTTATTTCTATTGAATCTTTATTTCTAAAAGGCAGCATCTTCTTTTGCCTGCAGAGATTCACCAGGAGATGCTGTAATCCATTGACTTTTATATTCAGCAGTAGAGTATCTCTTGATGTGAAGGGAAAAGCAACATGAACTCCTACTTTATTTAGATGTTAAAAAAATAGAAATATTCCTTTCAAAATAAATGCTTTTGACTAGAACAGGAAATCACCCATCCCTTACTCCTTTTGGCTGGATGTTTCCATGTGAGATTGTAGGGATTTAATTCCAGAACTGGTTTTAACTGGCCAGTTCCTGACAATTCCACTGGTTTAAATCTGATGCAATGGGAACCATCTCTCCCCCACCCCTGTTGTCTTTCCAAGAGACTGGTTAATTTTTAAATTGGATCAGCAACATTTTTTTAGAAAACCTGGTAAAGTTTCTATTACACAAAGATAAGCCTTAGACTGAGCACAAACTGGCTTGCCTGTAGCTTTCCTAATATGATTGCACTGTGGAGAGTAGACACTAAAATTTATATTAAAATTTCTTTATGCAGGTTCCCTCTAGGGAGAGGAAGAGGGAAGGAAAAAGCTTCATGTGACAGATGCTAATTATGCAGCTTAATGCACTTCTGGAAGTTGCAGAGATGAGAACTCTATAAGAACCTATCTACAAAACAAAGCACATTTTCAACAGCATTTTTTTTCCTCAATTCTTTTTTAATCTGCCTCCTCTCTGTTTTCCAGGAGGCTTTATTTCCCAAAGAGTACAAAGGGCAAGCAGTGTCTCAGGTGCAGGATTCACCAGCCATGGATGTGATTGTTCTCCATTGTGTCTTGCTGTTCTGAGGTGCTGGACATGGAATTGGGAAAGCTTCAAGGTTCTGAGCCAGGGAGAATTTTGAGTTCAGAATTCCCTAGATGATGTGGTAGTGTTTTTCCCCTCTTTTGTGGATATTTTATCAGCTCCTTATCCTGTGTTTAGGTTTAGTGGACAAATGATGTTCTGCACTTGTGCTGGGATCCTATAGAAGGATTTTTTGTGATGAATGTGTCAGGACTGATGAACCAGATCCCAAAATGCGTTGTGTAGAGAAGTGAGCAGAGACACAGCAGCTGAGGTCCTCAAAACTGGGAGGTGCAGCCACACCAAACCCAGTGTTAGACACTAATCCTCTCTTCCAGACACTGCCCTGTGCTGTTTGAGGGAAAAGAAATGGGAAAATTATCCTGAAATCAATTCAGACTTGCAAGAACCATTGTCCTGGACGTCCTAATCTACCAAATCCCTTTTACCAAAGCATTCTCTTTCCTCTTAGTGATAAACCCATACCAGCTCTCGTGTGCTTAGTGCAGAATGCTGCTTTCCCTGCTGTCCTTCACATCCCCGGATTTCTCCTGGGGAGGGGCGACTTGAGAACCTCTCCCACGGGGACATCGCGGTGGCATGGCTGGGACTTCCGAGGGGCTCGGGCTGGCCCTGGGCACCCAGGAATGCTCCTCACAGCCCTGGGCTGCAGCCAGCCCAGGGAAAACCATCTGTTCCCCTTGGAAAGGGGTTTGCTTCCCCCGGAGCCCTCCCCCCGCATCCCGGCTCCGGCCCCAGCTGCCGTGTTTCGATGAGCACTGAGGGAATGAATCTCCTGCGTTTAAAAATACTCTGCTTCTATTTAGATGAAAAGAAGAATCTTGCTTGCCTACACTGGCATACAAAAATAGGCTCAGTGTGAGTAAATCTTCAAAGTTTCTCTTGGTGAATATATCTAGCCTCACTTCTTTTTTTTAACTTATCATATAAGTTTATTTATAGAGTGTCCTTCTTTCCTCCTACTCTATCAAGACATTTGCAGAAGGTTGTCGCTCGTCTTGTTCAGGAGTCCTGAAATAATTTGCAGGGCCTTTGAAACATCATCGTGTTGCATAGTTGTGATCAACGTGCTGCTGTTGCATGAACATATCATATTTTAATGTGAATGTCAGGTTAGCTGAGACATTCAGGGCTTTCTTTTACTTTAGGTTCTTTACACTGGTTTGCATTTGCACTTGAACACTGCAGTAAAAATCCTGCGTGTAGTAATTTAAAATTTTCCATTTTACATGCAAAGCATTGCCTGGAAAATTAATGTGTAATATGAGAGGATTAGTAAGATGCATACACTTTCCAAACATCTCTTAAAAATAGCTTTCACTGTCACTGTAGCATCTTAATTCTGAATAATCTCACAGTCCTTCTGCAAATCTGTGCATGTAGTAACAGAGAAGCCACCTACTTCATCCTCTTGAACTGCACAATATGGATCTGGGCATGGAAAAAACTGGGGTTTGGAGTAGGGCTCTGCTTTGGCAGAGAGGCTGTCTGTGGGCCTAGTGAGAGCATTAACGCTTGCATTAAATATTAAAGTCAGCTTTCACAATTCTTGCCTATCTTTTCAAAAAGGCTCCGAGATCCTCACTTTGGAATTTGCTCCGTGGTGCAAAGCGCCGGCGCAGATCTCGGGAATCCTCTGCCAAGAGGTGGAAGCTGTGGAAGGGGAGCCAAGGCGAGTGTTCCCTGTGCTGGGGCACACTCTGTGCCCGGACTTTGGCCCGGCCTGACCGGGGGTGCCCTGGGGTGGGCACAGAACCCCAGGATTTCCACCAGGACCGCTGAGTCCAGCCTTATGGCCCGGGATCAGCCCGGGAATGGACAGGAGCCCTGGCAGGGATAAGGGAAGGGTGTGTTATATATTTAATACATAAATTTCTATTTATGTCAATAGAAATATATATATACTCATATTTATATGTATAAATAGAAATATTTACACATTTATATGTGTAAATATCGAAATGGGGGTGCCAAAAGACGCACCAGGCTCTGCTCTGTGCCAACCCCCAGGACACGGCACAACGGGCAGCAACTGATGCCCGGCAAGCTCCACCTGAACATGTCCAGGGAGCACTGGAGAGCTCGCGGAGCCTCCCTCGTGGCAGTATCCCAGACACGATCCTGTCCTCCGGGATGTCCCACTGCGGTCC